CTTAAAAAGAAGAAAAAACGATGAAGTAATACACTAATGATTATTTCCAAAATGATGGTAAGGTAAACATCTTTCAAAAAAGAAAGAAAAATCCTAAAATCTTATGAGGAAAAAAAAACTTTTTTTAAAAAAATGGCGGGAAAATTTATCGAATTTCGTTCCGGTAATTTGGTTTTCTGATTTCCGGATAACGGGTTCTGTACTGTACTAATAAATATATTGCAAGCTAGTAATCATGAAATGTTAATACACCAATCAAAAGAATTTACAATGAAACTTTTAATGCATATTAGAGTGGTTAGCTAATTAAATGTTTATTTGATTGTGTTAAGCCTCTGTAGTTAACAAATTTATATTTTTTCCCCTTATTATAATCCCTTTTTTCAAAGGAGACAATACATAACAATAAATTTGTCTTACAAGTTTTTAAATGAATGAAATTTGATATTAAAAATTGTTTAGCTTTTGTAACAAAATAAAACCATTGCTTTTATAATTTCAAATGGAATATTTTTCAGGATTATCATTGGTGGTGGAGATCCATTATGGTGTCAGGTGGATCTGCATTATATGTTTTTGCCTATTCTGTATTCTACTTCCTTACTAAGGTAAGTTTTTTTTCTTCCAGATGTATGGTGAAAGTATTCTATAGTTTAAGTGCATTACATATTTCTTTTTATACCTTTACCAAATCCAAATTCCTTTGCAGGGTAGCCACAGGCAACTAAAATGCGACTATTTGCTGCTATTTTCAGCCTTAGGCGACTTTTTTTACCTGAAAAGGCTAAAAAAGCAACTATTTTCAGGAATAGGCGACTATTAGGAGACTTTTTTACTCTTAGCGAAGTATTTTCGCATAAATGAACGTTACTTTTCAGAACGTTAATAAAATAAAGCAAACTTTTATGCAATTATTTATGTCCAAAAAGCCAAAAATTTAAATTTCCTTTAGATTTAATAAAGTACTTGTTATTTTTTCTCTCCGAGGGGCAGTTTTGTTATTTTTAATTGTTTTTTTCCTTCTATTAACATTCATATTTTATTGTAATTCGACTCTTATTTAGGTACCTATTTTCTAAAATGTATACCTTTTTATATTTGTTCAAAACTATTTTGTACAAATTTAAAAAGGTATACATTTAGAATTGGTGCATAGATAGGACTGGGCGATAAATCGATGTATCACGAAATATCGATTTAACGCATATATCGGTAGGCCGATGTAGTGACTTTCATTTTAGGCAATGCATCAGAAATCTGATTTAAACAGCCGGAATAAGGCTACAATCGCGGTTTAACTATTTAATATGCAAGGATCCTTGACTAGGCTTGCGCTGTTACTGCACTGACGAAGACGATTTTAATTTCGTCTTGCTGCACAGATGTAGATAGCATTTGCTGATAGTTTCGTGATGTTGAATGACAAGGAGCGAATTGAATCAGAACTCCCAGTTTCGTACGAGGATCAGCATTGTTATGTAGAACGCAATGCACAGTTTCTTAATGTCCATTTTTGTCTTTTAAATTTTACGTTTTTTGAAGATTATTTTCAATGGGACTCGAGTCATTTTGCAATTGTTGTGCATTTTATTTTGTCAGAAATAATTGTCAGGCTCTTAGTAAATTATTTTCAGTCAGACTTACCTTCAGATGTACCATTTTTTTTTCTGTCTGGGTTTAACAATTCTTGTCAATTATTTTTAGTAGACCTGCGGTTACTTTGCGATTGTTGCACAATCGCTGTTATCTTAAATTTTCGTTCTGAACTCAATAGATCAATGAAACGAAAATGTAAATAAAATAAAAAAATATTTACATTGATTTTCATTTTAAGCTATACAATTTAATAGGGGTATTTCGTATTTAACTTTGTTTTAAAAAGTTCTTTTTTTTAAAATCTATTAAATAATTTAAGTATAATAATTTAATTATTGTTAAACCAATAAATGTCCAATCGTTTTTCACTATAAAAAAATTAAAAGAAAGCTTCCATTTATTTAGTTTGCTTTTATTTTTGAGAAAATTGAAACGAAGTTTAAAAAAGTTGGCTATTAGTTAAAAAAAAAGAAAAGAAAAAACAAATAATTTTCTTTAATTAAATAAAGAGTTTAGTAATGTTTTGTCGCTTTTTTAATAATTTAACATTAGTACTTAAAGTTTTTTTTTTATTAAAATTCTTTCAATATTTGTTTGTTTTATAATTTGTTAGATAGTCAGTATCATTTTTAAACAAATAAATCTTTAGTGGATTTTATTTTCAAAAAAAATAATAATAAATAAGTGTTTCTTAAGTACAGAATTTGACTATTAGTTAATACTACCTCTTATTATTTTAAATAATTAAATTAAAAAGGGTCTAATAATGCTTCAAAAGCATGGTTTTTTTTTCAACAAAAAATTTTTTTTTCTAAAGGGAACATTTCTTTGGTTTGTTTTCCACTTTTGTTCTTTTTCTTTTAATTTTCATTGCATGTATGTAAAATATTTTGTTACAGTATTATTATTTTTAAAACAATAAATCTTAAATTATTTTTAATTCAAGAAAAATGAAATAAAGCTTGGGATCATAGTAGAATATATTTAGAATTAATATTTTCTTTCCTAATAGGTTTATTCCTCTTTATTTATTTTTGATTGATTGAAAGATTTCCCATAGGTAATTTTTGAACTTATGCTAAGTCGTGATACATAACTTTAACGCGATGTCTAAGTGACGATGTATCACAATTTAAAATTTGTGACATCACTCAGTCCTAGTCATAGTATTTTTCAATTAAGCTATAGTTTTAGTTATTTGGCTACTATTTGTGATAGATTTTTGTTCCTGTTCAGGCAACTATTTTCATTGTTTTAGGCAGCAATTTTCATGCTTGAGGCTACTAAAAGCAACTATTTTTGTTCATTTTTTACTGTGGCAACCCTGCTTTGAAGTTAAAAATAAATTTACAAATTAGCAATTCTTATTTTTTCTCTTTTTATAATAACATATATAAATGTAGTGATTGTTTGAACATATGTTTAATACCCCAAAATAATTCATGCTTATAAATAATATTGAACAACAATTCTTAAATTATTTCATCCTGTTTTATATTAAGACAGTCTCTAAATAAATGCCTCTTATCTTTATTAAAGAAAAAAAAAATTTTCCCCTAATATTTCATTTTAAATACCTAACATTTTTCTTCATAATTGTAAGTTTTATACAACAACTAGTATAAGATAGAATCATTGTGATTTAGCTTCAATATCTAAAGTTAATTAAATTACTTGTATAGGAGCTGTACAAAAACAGTGATTATATGAATGTACTTTAAGAATTGTACTATGTTATTATTTTCACTTAAAGATGTTTTTATTTATAGCTGGAAATAACCGAGTTCATTCCAACACTGTTGTATTTTGGTTACACTGGTTTGATGGTACTAACCTTCTGGATTTTGACAGGAACAATTGGATTCTATGCAGCCTATTTTTTCATTCGAAAAATATATGGTGCTGTGAAAATTGACTAATTTTTTGAGATATCAATTAATATTTAACTACACTTAACCTTGAAAGTGAAACAGCTGAAAGAACAATATTCATAAACACCCTGGAACATTCAACAAATAGCAATTAATAAACATTATTACATTGTAAATAGTCCCTTTTTATGTCTAGTGATATTTGTGTTTTGGTAAAGATTTCTATTTATAGTTTCTCGTATAATAAAATGATTATATTTTCTTTTCCGAGTACATTGTGGATTTCTTTTTAACTATGATGTCCTACTCTCACATCAAGTATGCACCATTCTCTCGGGTCACTTTGAGGCGGTTTAGTTGAAAGGCCAATGGTTATTACCATGGAGAAAAATGCTTGACATTGGTGTGTTGAAACCCATTAAAAGCCAAAAGGGAATGGTTATGATGTATTCACACTATAATTTCTGAAGTTTTTGGAGCACCAGAAAATTTTTATTGTTTTATTATGAAAAAAATTTCTTGTGTTTAGATTTTTTTCTTTTGTAAAATAATTAATGTAAAATTTTGTCACGGGAAATTACTACAATTTAGAGAAAATAATGGAATATAAAAGTCGAAATCTTTATTTAGAAAACACTGAACTTTCAATTACTATACACTTTCTAAAATATTTATAGAATGGTAAAAAATTAAAAGCTTATGCTCTTGGAATTCTGCAAACATTTTAAAAGCTACACCACTAGTTAATAGGAAAAAATGGCTTCTTATATGAAATTTCAAAACAAAGAATTATATGTTAAAACATACACTTCTATACCTTAAGAAGAAATTTTCTTCAAAAGCGTAGTTAGTTGGTTTCCCTTGGGTACATGCATATGAGTGATTCTCACGAAACATGACAATTCGGACCAAAATATTTCTTTAAATTTAAAGTCTTCAAAATAATCTAAAATTTTTTTGTATACTTCTTTAGTTACACTTATTAATATCTTATAGACAGCAGTGTAGTTTATTGACATTTGCTCGAGAAAAAAAAAATAGAAAATCACCAAATCTTGAATGCCAGGAAAATGAAATATTACCTTAGAAGTTTAAAAAACAGTCATTTTAAGTTAATAGTAAGTAACTCAACTTAAGCCTTTATGTTAGATGAACCATAAATTGCTTAAATTAATTCTTTTTATCCACTGTAGAAAGAAACAAAAAAATTTTTGTTGCTGATGTGTAGGTTTTTCAAGATAATATT